TGCTTGTGAAACCATTTCGAGAAGCATTATTCAGGGCATCCCGAAACTCCCTTCTGATTCCATTGAAGAAAATAATGATCACGTTCCAATCTTCAAGACCATGGCTTGGGCATCTCATCAACAGCCCCTTGTAGCGCTCCCATGCCTCAGTCAGACTCTCATCATCAGTCTGCTTAAAAGTAACAATCTCTTCCTGCCTCTTCATTGCCAAGGCAGGTGGGAAGTATTTATCCAGAAATACCTTCTCAAGCTGACCCCATGTCGTGATGGAATGTGGTGTTAAGTTCTGAAACCAGTGTGATGCATTCCCTAGCAGAGAAAATGAGAACATCCGAAGACGGATTGCATCATCAGACACGGTCGGGCTCTTCATAGTATCACAAATGCTCGTGAACCGGCGAAGATGCTCATGAGGATCCTCACTGCTAGCCCCGGAGAAGGTGTACCCATTAGTGATCATATTGATGAAGGCTGGGGTAATCTCCATGTTTGCATCCCCAGCCGGAATGACAACACATGAAGCTCGGGCTCCAGTCCTTCGATTCAAGCGAGCCCTGATCGAACGATCCTGTTCTGCCATGATAACTGGCTCGATGATGCGCGGTGGTGGTGGTGGTGGTGTAGGGACGACAGGTGATGAAGCCTGCCCTCTCTTGGTTAGGGAAGGCCTAGGAGTTGTGGTTGGCTGCTTCCCTAACTTGACCTGCTTCCTGTTCTGTCGGCAGGTCTTCTCGATCTCCGGGTCTAGTGGCAGTAAATCGCCGGTCGTCCTCCTAGGCATGCACGTGGAGGATAAACCTGAAAATTCTTCTGCACACTAACACCCAGATCAAAATAGTTCACTCACAAAAATTAACAAAAATAAGGTATGGCAGTTCCCCGGCAACGGCGCCAAAAACTTGATAGGGCAAAAGCGTATATGCCAATTCCTATCTTGTAGTAATCCGAAAAGTCCGGGTATCGTCTCTCAGGGACTGGTACAACCTTAAGTTCTATCAATTTTATGAACAAACTATAAGTGAAAATAGTTGAATGAGACTAATTTCTAAAAGCAAAATAAACTAAACAAATAAACTAAATGAAAACTGTCGGGAGAAATTCAATGGAGAAAGCTCTGGGAGAAACACCGGGACTCACTACCTATCATATCCAGATTAATTCACATATTCCAATCAATTTAATCCAATTCTCTACAGCCAGGATATCACTAATGTGCTAGCTATCCCTGTCGGGAATTACTACGTACTAAATAATCAATTCAAATCCTACTGTCGTAGCTCAATGAATTAACTATATAGCCTGAAGATCGATATCCTATTTAAGACCGCATAGCACCTTATTTAATCCACTGTCGCTTCGATAAGTTACTATGTCACATGAAAAATGTTCAGTTATTAGGGTTTCACTGTCGCTAATAACCTAATTAACTACAAATCGTTGTATTGGTGGCCAGTCAACACAAAGCATTAAGTAATTTCATGCAATAGAGATTGAAAGAAAAGAATCATGAATCAATTCATCAAATCAAGAAATAGCTACATCCTATGGTGTTTCCCCCAGAAATTGGGGTTTAGTTCATGACTAAATTAAGATAAAACGATAGGGTTTTGTTCATCATGTTCTAAATCAACAAGAAACAACTAATTAGGTTTAGAAAATCCAACCAACTAATCGCTCTCGTTGAACTCAGTTCAAGCCTTGAAAAACAGATCGCCAATTGCCAATCGCGTCCCCAGCTCCGTGAACTGCCTTCGCTTGATTTTCTTTTCTCCGCTGCGCCTCTGTTTCTTTTCCCCAGAGAATTTCGTTCCTCTTTCCAAAAGCTCCCGTCCACTTAATTCCTCCTCCTTTTCGTCTTTTTCCTCCCCATCTAATTCCGTGTGTCCCTCCATTCCTTTTGTCCGCCTGGCAAAGGAGAAAAAATAAATTCAATGGGCTTTGGCCCAATTCTTCTTCCTTCCTCGTAGAGTTCCGTCCAAGTTCCAAGTCCAATTCCTCTGGGCCTTGAGTCCAAGTGAGTAGTCCACCAATAATTCGAGCCCGATTTATTGCTTGTACACTCGCTCCTTTTTCGTGCTTTCTCCACCTGTATCATATCAAACTCATGGCACTAGGCAGTAATGGTTTTTCAACCATTCTCGGGTTAGCGAGCCCTAAAATAGCACCAATTGACTAAAACATACCATGAGATAATCACATAAAGTCCAAGAATCCGATATATTAAAGCCGAATATCATTGTCCATAAGTTCTACCAAAGTGCTTCCCGTAATTGCTTTTGAAATGTCGTATGCACCAGCGCCACTTCCACCCTAGCTCCTCGGGCAGGTCGTAGAAAGCATGTGCAATTCCATGGTGTCGATCAGAAAGTATGGCAATGTCCTTCCGTTGAGTGACACGAGTGTATAGTTGGGAAAAAAACATGCCCAACTTAAGTTGTTCTCCGATTCGACTATAGCAAAAGCAAGGGGGAAAAGTTGCATACTGCCATCAACACTAGTGGCAACGAGTAGAGTGCCCTTGTATTTGCCGGTCAGAAAGGTCCCATCAACTTGGATTATTGGCAGACAATGGGTGAAACCATCAATGCATGGTTTGAATGCCCAAAATACTCGCTTAAACACGCGTTTAGCACCCCCATAGAAATCTTCGTAACTAGACACAAAAACAGACCCAGGATTCTTGTCCTCCATTGCAAGAATCAAACGAGGCATGTTAGCAAATGACTCTTCCCAATCACCATACACCTCTGCCATAGCTTTTTGCTTCCCATGCCATGCTTTCTTGTAACTGATGGTATAGCCATGTCGATTCTTCACTTCAGCGATGACACTCTTCACGGTGATCCCAGGTTGTGCCTCAATCAGATGTTTGATTGTTTGTGCAACCTTCCTTGCACTCAATTGTCGGTGATCTAGAGAAATCAGTGACGACCTACAAGTGTGGTTGTTGTCTGTCTTACGAATGAGCCAAGCCCCATTTCTTTTAACATATGCCGCCCGAACATTCCACATGCATCCGTCGCTATGGTTCTCGCAACGAACATGAATTTGTTTAGTGTCAGAAGTGATGACACGATATTGAAAGCTTCTTCGCATAGCAGTTTCTTTCAATGCATCGACCACCTGAGGCTTTCCTCCAAATGTTTGGCCAACCACGAATCCAGAGTCAGGAGTCCATATTGGTATAGGAGGGAGGTCAGGATCGTCGTTGTGAGCATAGAGAGGATGTTGTGGCACCATCGTGTAGTGAGGTGTGGGGGGCTCAAATTCCCCCTCATCAACTTCCAGATCTTCACCATCTGAACTACTCATAGATTCTAACTCTTCATCTTCCATGTCGCTTGCCTCGCTAGTGTACGGAGGACTTGGTTTATCCACATATGGATCATTGTTGATGCCAGATGCTGGTGTAGATGCTTGTCTGGGTGCCCTTATGTAATCCCATTCTTCACCCCATACTGGCCACTCCTGTCCGTCATGTTCCACCAATGGACCAGTTGCAGTTCGATCCTCGTATGTTGGCCATGGTGCATCATGCCGCACTCTGAAATCTCCTGAACCGGAAAACCCTCCAGATCCTTCACCGTGTTCGGTATAACCGCCGCCACCATATTGGCCAAAAACTTCTGTTTCGACATACACCTCAGCACTTGGAAATCTGTTCTCTGCAATAAATCTCACCATCATATTAATGTCATCATCGTCAGACAAAACTGATCCTTCATATACAAGTGCATAATCCTTGTAAACCGGCATACGGTAAGTCATCTTGCATACTCTTCGCCCTGCTATGCAACATCGTTCAGCACAAATATGACTGAGTTCTTGCCAAGTAAATATGCTCTCAATCCGGACAATACTTGATTCACCATCTTCGTAGTCAATACTATCATGAAAGTGTGTAATTCGACCATTCCACCGAATCTTTAAGTCGAATTTTCGAAATTTTCTACCCATTTCTGCAGTTTATACAAGCAGCTCATTACATACAGTACAAACAATACTAAATTAATCTAAAATTCTAATATGCTCATTCAAACAAAGTAAGCAGAACTTACCTCCAAATTTTATCTTCTTTGCTCAGCTATGGTGCTCCAGCAGCTGCAGTTTGTGTTTGGAAGAAGATAGAAAGGAAGAGTGCTGCCAGAAAGTGCTTTTATTTATCGTAAACTGATGGAGTGGGTCGAGTCCAGTACACTCGAACTACACTAGTTCGAGTTCATTAAACTCGATCTACGTCGACCAATAATTTCCCCCCCTGCGCCCTATTCTGTGGCATGTCGGATAGAAAGCGACTGGACAGAATGATTGAGCAAGTAGTTCGAGTTTAGTGTAATCGAACTACACTAGTTCGAGTTTCTAAAACTCGATCTGCTACAACAAAAATCTTATCCCTGTAACCCTATCCTGGAGCATGTCGGTGGGCAGTAGTTCGAGTCTTATGGCCTCGATCTAGTCCAGACGAAGATCGAGTGAGTTAAAGTCGTTGCTCTACATCGAAGATTTTGAAGTCGATCTTACTTGATCGAGTGTTTAATACTCGATCTACTGAGATCGAGTCTCCTGTAATCGATCATGGTTGTTCGAGTCTTCTAAAGTCGAACCACTGTTGATCGAGTGTTTAAAAGTCGATCCACTTTTGGTTCGAGTTTCTTATCGTCGATCTTGTGTGTAGTTCGAGTCCCATAAACTCGAACCCCTTGAAACTTGGGTAATTTAGGAAAATTTTATAAAACTTATGTATTCAGGGAATTATGTATAATTTTGGCTGTATTCTGGGAATTCTTCCTGCGGATGTGTAGTAGCTAGGGTTATGTTTTCGTTCTCTGTTGCCTCCTTTGTGAGGTTTGGGCAGCTTGTATATAAGGTAGAGTTTGCTACTGTGTAGGGTAACAAAACACGATCAGGAGAATAACATAGTATCTGAAGGGTTTTCACTCTTCCGTGGAAGAGTCCTGGACATTCCAGGGATACCACTTAAATCCGATTGTTCTTGCTCTTCAATTCTGTTCCGATTATTTCCGATAGTTTATCATCCCCTTCCTCGACTTCACCCTCTCAGCCAATTTCATCAACATGATCTCGACGATCTTCCTCAAATCCTCTGGCGCCAACGGCCTGAATATCACAATGTCATCCAGTCTATTCAAAAATTCAGGTCGAAATTCCCACTTTAGCTCCTCCATAACCCGAACTTTCGCGGCCGCTTCGTCGGGAATCCCCTGAATCAGGGCCCCCTGGCCGATGTTCGACGTCAGGATGACGATGGCGCCTCCGAATCGAATTTCTTCCCACGCCCGTCCTTCATGGTGCCGTAATCAAGGATCTGGAGAAGCTCGTCCTAGACGTCCACGTGGGCCTTTTCGATTTCGTCGAATAGGACAACGGAGTTGGGGTTCTTCTGGATCGCCGCCGTCAATTGGCCGCCCTTTTCGTGATCGTAGTAGCCATGTGGGGAGCCCAAGAGTTTTGATAAGGTGTGCCTCTCCATGTACTCGCTCATGTCCAGTCGGATTGAGGATTCTTTCGACCCGAAGAACTCGATCGCTAGGGCAATGGCGAGCTCTGTTTTGCCGACGCCGGTGGGACCGGAGAAGAGGATGCTCGCAACGGGTCGGTTTGGGTCCGTGATACCGGTCGAAGCGCGGTAGACGGTGCGGCTGATTGCCTCCACCGCTTCTTCCTGTCCGATGATGTGGGTCTTCAGCCGCTCAACTATGTTTTGACCGGCCGCCGGAGATGGTTCCCGCTTTATGACTCCGTGGAAGGAGGTCCGACGAAACTGGAAACCTTCAGAATCGGAATCGGAATCCATTGAACTTGATAGCACCAGAGAATACATGTAGAAGGGAAAGGGTTTATTATTATTACGGAGAAACATGGGGAATCAGTTGAACCGAGCGTCTAATCCTAATAGGATTACATAAGAGACGAAGGCTAAACCTAAAACTAGCAAGATTTTTTTTCCTGAGCAATTCAATGTATAAATGCATAGATAGTTGGGAGAAAAAACTTTGTTGCGTTGTTTTCGGAGCGATGGTCGAAAACCCAACCGAACCCTTAACGGTTGATTTCCGCCGACGAGCGACCTTGGGCTGTTGGAGTAGTAGCTATAGATAGATCAGACGGAGAATACAGTTTCGTGGATCAGTCTTGTGCAAGAATATTTGTGGTGGCCCGTCTGATGTCAACGTATCTGTCCAGCCCACGAGTTCTTGTCCGAGTACATCTCGGCTTCCTTGTTAACAGCAAGAGAAGAAGAAACCACAAGTTTTTCTTCTTTCACACCTACTTACCGAGACGTCGTAGTTCAGCAACGCAACATGATGAATCCCGTAGCCACGTGTAGAATGGAGATAGGACAGTAGTCTACCAATGGGAGAGCTTCATTTCCAACGGCCTAAAGTAACATTTCTCATTGTTTGATTGTCTTCTATGTTTTCTCTGTTTTCACTGCTTTACTTTACCAACACAGTTGGTTGTCTCAGTTGTAATCAGACTATATATATGAATGAGAAGAAGGGGAGAGGGTAAGTAAAATCCCAAAATCCTATTTTGGCCAAAACGTTGTTATGGTATCAGAGCCTGGTTAGGGTTCTGTATCCTTATCTTGCTCGTCCACCTTCTCTTCTTCTTCTTTCTTTTTCGCCGCTTCTGTATTTGTTGAGTTTAGCCAACAATGGCTGCACAAGTTACGAACAACGCCACTAGCAATGTCATCGATCCTTCTGCATCCACAAACACAACCACCAACTGTCTTGCTACTGGGTGTTAGCTCTCAGATCCCTACTACCTTGAGTATTCGAGAAGACTAGGTTTCTCCTTAACTGGTTTCCTCTTCTTTTGTTGTTTTCTTCTATTTCCTTCAGTGTGTATTGATTATTGATTTACAGATTCGTAACAGCGCTTGAGTATTCAAGTTGAACAAAGTGATATCGAAGAAAGAAGGCCTAAACCAGAATGGTCAAAAGTTTTTCAAAGACTTGATTCGAAGGACATGGATGACGTTCACACAAACACCTTCCAATTTGGACGATTAGCCTGACTCTACCCAAAAAATAAATAATCTGTTTTTTGATAAAATGATATATACGAGAAAAACAAAAATTACATAAAGCTAAATCCAAAAATATATAATTATTAACGCACATTGTTTGTGTTTTGAAAATGAATTTATAATCAATTATATTGGACTGAAACTATTACCCGCAAAAATACCTGCCACTAAAAATACCATTAGTGGCAAATAATTATGCCTCTAATTTGAGAAAAGAATACCATAAAATAGTTATTCAAAAAGTGAAATTAGTAACAAAATTATCCGTCGCTAATTCGTAAATTAGAAGCACATATTATTTGTCGCTAACATTTGCTGCTAAAGAGATTTAGCGGCAGCAGTATTGACAACACACATTTATGTGCCACTATAAGTCTATCGAGGCACATAAATCACTTATTGCAACAAATACGCTTAGCCTTTAAAGGTCATTTTTCTTATAGTGCAGCCAGGGCAGATTCTGGTTCCTCAATAGCTCACCCCTCACAACTATAAAGACTGGAGTACCCCCATGATCGACGTACTTGCGTCAAAGAACAAGCTGGGTTTCATAGATGGAAGCATCCTCAAGCCAGAAGTGGGACATGCAATGGCGGGGCCTTGGACAAGCTGCAATACTATGTTCAAGAGCTGGATCTTACAGTCCGTTGATGAGGTAATTCGAAAGAGTGTGTGAAGCATTCAGACTGCAACTGAGGTATGGAAAACCCTAAAACTCATATATGCTCAAAGAGAATTGATTAGGATTGTGGAATTGAAAGAACAACTGTGTACCCTGAAACAAGGCAGTAGAATATTATCAGAATACCATACTGATTTGATCACAATCTGGGAAGAATTGAAAAACTATCAATCTATCCCCTTATGTTCCCCCACACCTACTAGTCATGGAGACTATCAAGTCATAAACACAGTCAAAAGTCATCGGGAAACATATTTGATTGTGCATTTTCTGAGAGGGTTGAATGAAAATTACTCAATTCTCAGATCTCAAGTTCTATTCACAAAACCATTACCATCTATGGATCAAATCTTCTATAAAATGGCACAACATGAGAGACAGTTTGCAGGAAGCCATCAGAAGAAAGGGAAAATGGTGGAATCCTTGGCTATGGCTCTGCAATCTCTGGGCATGAGAGTTCCAGACCAGTCTAGAAATGAATGGAACCCTGCTGGAAACGTGAGAGGCATGGCAGAGGTAGAGGAAGGTTTGGAAACTCAAGACCATTTTAATTTGGGCCTTCTGCAAAATGCAAGGTCGTAGAGAGGAGACCTGTTAGCTATTACCACAAGCATGGATAGCTTCCAGGAATGACTCCTAGGAGTGGAAGAGGAGTAGGCAGCTCCAATTACAGACATGCTCGTGCTGTTGTGGGTTCAGAGTCTACCGGTGATGGAATTACCATGCCAAAGGAGCAATATGATTATTTTGTTGTATCGTCATACATATTTGAATTTTTATTGCGTTTATAATGTCTATAATCATTTTATTGATCATCCAAATCCATAGGACCATTTTGATCTATTATCATAAAATAAGTTAAAACATACCGAAGAGTAGTTATTTTTCGCCTTATGAACCAACAAATCCACATCAATTGTACAAAACTAAGTATCCCCCATTCCACATTTCCACTTTGGAGAATCGTTTATATGGATAGTGAGACTTTTTCTTGTTTCCAAAGTAGATTTGTTTTTCACGAGTTAACGGACTTGTACTAGTGGGATTCCCGTAAATACCAACCGGCCGGTGAAAGAATGTTTTGCTTTCGACGTGACAACTTAAGTAGGAAAGTTGGTTCTAACTTCTAATAACTAACAAGATCGTTACTATCCATGATCTCGGAATTACAGTCACCTTGCTTCTGTTCCACACATCAATAATCCAAACAAAATTATCAGATTAACGTTTAACAATGCCTAGTTATTCCCTTGCAAACGACAAATGCCATCGAAGGTTGCTTAAGAAGCAGGCATCCTTAGTTTAGTACGTGTGTCCTCTTTAATTGCTATCTATAAAAGCTTAACCCATATTGTCTTCCTATTGATTCATCTCAGGAAACCTTGGCAGCACTGGTCATCATTTCTCTCATCCATCATCAAGAGTCGTATAATTTCACAGGAGTTCGAATTGTCGGCGTTATCATCATCATGGCTCTTCCAAAAACACTCGTAACGTCGATCGTGAAAAAGTGGAGGAAGATTAGTTCATTTAGAAGAATGGGTTCGATTGCTTCTCCTTCTTCTCCTGTGGATGCATCATTTTCTTCGTACAATAGAAGAGGTCATTTCGTGGTCTACACGATGGATAAAAATCGTTATACGATACCATTGAAATTTTTGAAAAATGAAATGATTCTAGAGATGTTGAGGATGTCTGAAGACAAGTTTGGATACTCGAGCAACAAACCAATTATGTTGCCGTTTGACACTTTTATAATGGATCAGATTATTTTGTTACTCATCTCAAAATAAATTAGAGATGAAATGCTTGAGCAAGTACTTTAATTATAAGCGTTAAGGGTTTGCTCATCATCGAACCATTAATCTTTTTAACTTACATCATACTTGCGAAAGCTAGTTTGTTGTACAACAAGGTTAACTATTGCCATAATTTGTAAATGTTGACAAGTTTTGTATCGCGAGCATGTTTTATCCGCTTTTGTATTTAACAGGTTGGGTCGAGTGTAATTTTTTTAAAAACTCGATTCAGCCCGATGAAAGCGAGATGAACCCGGTGTTGACAAATTTTAGGTCGGGAACTAGTTTTATTTACTTTAGTGCTTTTAAATTTCTCTTTTCCCTTTGGTTGAGAATGACAATTGAACCCAAATTTGTAGATATCCAACCTAATTCGACTCGATCAAAGCTACTTGAACCCGACTTTAGTGTTTTTTAATTTATCGTTTTCTTTTTGGTTGAGAATGACTACTAAAATTAAAAGCAAACATATATCATTCTTACCTATTAAAAGGAGAATGACAATTGAACCAACTCATGAGTATCCAGTTTAATTCGACCGGGTCAAAGCGGCTTGAACTGGACTTTAGTGTTTTTTAATTTATCTTTTTCATTTTGCTTGAGAATGATATTTGGACTCAAACCTATGGGCATCCAAACTGATTCGACCAGGTCAAAATGGCTTGAATCCGGTTTTGACGAGTTTTGGGTCTGCTGTGAGTTTTATTCGGGTTTGCAATGGCAGGTTGGGTTAAGTGTGAATTTGTTAAAAAATTAGTTACACCTGGTCAAAGCGAGTTGAACCCGGTGTTTGATGAGTTTTGGTTCGAGTGTGAGTTTAATTAACTTTAGTGTTTTCTAATTTTTTTCTTCCTTTTGGTTGAAAACGAAGATTGAACCCAAAATCATGTGTAGCCAAACTAGGGGGGCTTCCCTTCTGCAATCACCGGAACACCCAGCAACATTTGTTTTACGAATGTGCATGGGCTAGTCGATTGTGGAGAACTTCAAATTTTGCGGGTTTATTTAAAATGAGAGGAACGTCTTCCTGCATGGAATGAGTAGCAACAATAGCGAAGAATGCCCTTCAGTTGGATTTTAAAGAGTGGAGCATGGCGTTCTGGTCTCTTTGGAAAGAGAGAAACACTCACTTGTTCAATGGTTTTAAGATAACGAAAGTGGATATACCGCCAAGAGTGAGATGTTGGACGAATTTGGAAAGATAAGAAATCAGAATTGCGAATCAATTATGCAAGATTGTTTGGCTGAAATGCAGAGATTGACTCGGCCTCAAATGGAAAGCAGGAATCAAGCGAGTGATACTTGGAAGGTTGTCAAATCTGCTGTATCATCTCCAACGGCTACTTGGATGCTTCTTGAGTCAATATATATTAGTTCTTTTCCTTGTACTTAGGTACGGGGTGAAAAAGCGGTATA